GGGAGGTCTTATTATTTTGGGGTCCATGGAGCAAGATGGGCTCCTCTTGCCGTCTTACCTGATTTCCAGCTCTGCGTTTAAATATTTTTGGGGAGCGTTTATTTTCAGGGGGAGGCTTATTTTAGTGCATACGTTCAAAAGCCTGTTTGGGCTTATCAGGGAATGTCTTATTTTCAGGGAAATAGGATACTATTAATTATATACTGGAGTGGCTTTTGTGTTTATCCCTGAAACTCTCAAGCAGTAATCAGACAAGTTTTATATGCTAATAATTAATTCCCTATCACGGTATGCTTGTATATTAATAAATATGTACTGTCCATAAAATACTTAAGGTTTTAATGAGGTTTGTGTAGCATTCAAGCAAGAAATGTTGACTGTGTATCAATTATGAAAAATTTAGGCCCAATTACAATATCTGATACTCTCCTGCACTGAATATAAAGAATATATAAAGAATCCTAATTTGTTTACTGTAGCAAGTTGCCAATTTCAAAATGTGAAAACCTAAAATCCTCTAAATACAGATATAATAGATTTAAAACTGAGATAGAACCAAAAGAAAATAGCTTAATTTATATTTATGCTGGATCAAATATCTCAGTAAAAGGGAAAACATTTTTATTACCCTGTTCTAGCATTTTCTTTATGATGTGCTGCTGGCAATAATTTCACATTGGAGTGTTAATTCTAGCAATACTCTACAGTTTACTCATTAAGAAACCTATATTCTAAAGCTTCAGCAATTCCACCAGTAGAGCTTTAAACTTAAATATTTATCCAATCAAAGAAAGGACACTATACTGGATCAAACTAATAAAAGTTTTCATGGTCAATAGAAGGAAGAGACAAGGAAGAGAAGAGTGACTAGGCATTAAGAGGGACTGTGTGCTCAGCTGTAAGGAGTGTAAAAGTTATCTAATGAATAGCTGCTGATTGGAAGGGGTATGTTTTGAAATCTATTGATTACCTATCATCGGTGACTTAATGCTTCCTATTGAGTAAGCCCAGAAATATTAAACATCTCTGTGTTTCAAGGAGCAACCTTACTGAGCTGGCGAATTGAGAGAGCTGTCAGAATTCTGCCTGTGGAGTGAGAGGATCCCTAACAGATTTTACCTCTAAGTCAAGGGTTTGTACTTAGCTAACTGGAAATCCTGAAAGTTGGACAAGAGAAAATGGTATATGCAATTTTGGGGACATGTTTGTCTTCCTGCCTAACCACAAGCTGAGATGCCTCTCATCAAAGGCAAGCTTGTTGTATTTCTTGAAGAAAAAGGCAGTTCAATTATTGAAGTGGTCACTTGATTTCAGTTGATAGAGAAGATGAAGATTTAGCTCTTCAAAGAAATCTGTTGCTGAAAAACACAAAACAAACCACAGTCTCATAGCCTTCATAGGGAAAAAAAAGACCCTGTAGAATAGCTGGATAAATCTGTTAAAATTAGAGGAGATGCTGCGGTTCCTTATAAAAAGCAAAGAAAGAATTATAGAATTGTGTTAAAAGTATTAAAGGAATAAGACGATGGTCTTGCTGAAACTTTACAAGAAATTGTAGGGAAGAGAAGGCCATATGACCTGAAGAGGAAGAAGAATGTGTCTATATTTGAAAAGGGGGGAAGGATTTAGGAAGCTAACACACCCATTTGTCTGGTATTAATAGCTGGGAAAATTCTATAGCTGATCATAAAGATATTCATCTGGGAGTTCCATGAAATTCATGTAATTAGTTAAGCGCAAATCTTAACAGATCAAGCATTGTCTCATTTTTGGATTGAAGAGATTGTGAAAATACTATACACATTATATTTTAATTTCAGGAAAGTATTTCCTGTACCCATAACACTGATTAGCAAATCAGTTAATTGAAGATAGATGGCATGACTGTTAAGGCATGAAAATAGTATTCAGAAAATTACTAATGATTCCTTATCAAACTGTAGACAGTTTTGAGTGGATTGTCATAATTTAAATGTTGATCTTTCACCGTAACTCTTTTAAGGTGGAGGGTTCAAGAGATAGGAGAATGCTAATCAGATTTGTAGATGATACAAAATGTATGGGATAACTACAAGAGAAACTTTAATATGACATTGATAAGTTAGAGAAATGGGCTGCAAATAGTTATTAAATTCAACAGAGACAAATGATTAGGATAAGAAAATGTACAGTTACAGGATTTATATACTTGGCTTGCTAATCATGTTTATGAAAAAGTTATTAGAGTAAGTTGTTAATTGCTGTTTCTTTTGAGTTGTGATGTGGCTGGAAAAAAAAGCAAATGTAATTTAAGCTATATCAGCACAAGCTTAATTTCCAAATCTTAGAAAGTATTTTGCTTTATTCTACATTATTTAGGCTATTTTTTGAGGATTGAATACTCTGAGAAGGATTTAAACAAATTAGCAGCTTCAGGAAAGGGTGATGAGGATGATCAAGGACTTAATAGTGTATAGAAAGAGTGAAATAATTGGGGATGTTTAATCTTGAGAATATCACAAAGGGATATAATAGAAATCTTTAAATAACTGAAGGTATATGGAAGATAGTCACTCCATGTTCTACATTGTTCTAGACTTCAAGATACCCAATAATACATTTAAGCTACAGAAAGTCAGATTTTGAATGAATTGAAGAAAACATTTTCTAACGATGTTTGGTTGTAGAACCATTTTTTGTTTTTGAGAAGTGGTGGGCTTCCTATTACTGATGTTTTAATTTGTATTCCTGAATATATCACAAAGTTGATTTTAATGGATTTAAAAGGCACTTTCTAGCAGTATCATTGTATATTTGAAAATAATTTCTAAATGTCCATTTCCTTAGTCAAAACCTGGCTGGTTGGTTAGTATCTGCATTCTATTATCTTTCATGAGTTTCACTGAAAGATATTTACTTTAATTCTGTATTGTCTTACCTGTGATAAAATGCCTTTTTGTTTTTATCATGACTGAAACAAACTTTATTGGTATTTGGTCTGTAGCATCAGCATTTCAAAAGAAGATATTTGCTATCCTGCTGTCTTTTAATGTGCACTTAAAGCATGGAAATATGACCACTGCATAAGTTGTAGAGTGTAGCATAATTTTAATATATGGGGAAAGAAGATATAATTAACAAAGATGTTTAACCTAATATTTGGCCACTTGCAACATCTAGAGGAGGATATACATCGATGGACTCAGAGCTAATTTATATCAGATTAAGTTTAGATTACTGCTAAATGGGTATAGCTGTGTTTGGTGAAATTTACTTTATTGTGCAGGGGAAAATTAGTTCATCTCTGAAGTGACTGAAATGTTTATCATAATGAATTTCAGCTTTAATGAAAAATACATTTATTCTTATGCAGCTAGCTAACAAAGATACAACAGAAATAATGTTGAATGTGATATTGTAATAAGCAATTGAATGTCAATTTTATTTCCATTTTCCTAACTATAATTGTACCAGTAATTAATCTTAAATACATTGAAAGAACAGCATGTATCTGAGTTGCAGCAATCTAGATAAGAGTTAGATGGTGGTAAAGGAATTTGACCCCTTTGCTGCAACCAAGAGGCATGTTTTATTTATTTTCATTTATTTTCATTTTAGTTTTTCCTTTTATGTTAAATTTTGCATCAAAACCTTCTGGGGTAGTGAGTTGTAAAGCACCATGTACAGTGACAGCAGGATGTAAATAATAGGGTATAAATCAATGATCTAAAACACAATTCTTTTCAAACTATGTTTCACAGAATCTCAAAAACTTGATGGGATTCCACTGCCTTGAGTTATATATAAGCAGAGCCATTTTTTTCAATCATTAAGCTTTGCCCCTTGATCAGGGATTCCAGGATTTTTAAATAAGTTTCCACAGCCTGAAAAGGTTTGAAAACAATATGCACTTATAGTATCTTTTGGAAGAAATAGTCTGACTATCTATGGCTCAATAAGCTCCACAGAAGTAATTTGAAAATCAGTACCATACAATGAAAAAAAAAATAATGTTCAAATGGGGCTGATGTACATGGAAGTGGAATACAATTCAGTGTGTTTCTTAAAATATTAACTTTGAGATATGTTTTAGGAAATTGGGGCAGGGGATAAATACTTTATATTATTGCTTCTTTGGTTTCCTAATTGCTATTTGTCTGGGATACACTGGACCGTTCAGAGCTCTCTTCTTTCAAATATTCCTCCAGTATAAGTTTGTTCCTTGAGTATTATGACTTTTATTCATAAAGTATTAAAGTGCCATTTGGGTAGATCCTGTTCGATCATCCTCTTAATGCATTTAATTTGGATAAGCATACCAAATCTGGTATTTATTATCAAGATCCGTGTTGATAACTAAAGAGGAACTAATCTCTTATATTTTTGCCTGTTGATCAGTTGGTCAGATACCCTGGCTAAAGTTCTGCTAAATATATGTATAGAGCAGCAGAAAAGCTTCATTCAGAAAATGTATGTGTATTGGACGACTATTAAAGTCCTAAAGCAAGAGTGGTGATGGCATGAGTCATTGTCTGGGTCAGAAAAAAAGGGCAGCGCTGGATTTCCTACTACTGAACCTAGTGATTTAATGAAATATCCGTATGTAAAAGTAGGATGTTTCTGACCACCAGATCCACGTGAAAAAGAATGACTTCATGCCTTCCTTGTGAGTCTTGGAAAGTAATAGCTGCATTATGTCATGCAGCATTTATCCTTCAAATCTAGAGGCTTGATAGACTTCTGTGTTTGTTTCTACAAATTTAGTTTGTGCTGTGTTTAATTATGCAAAGGAAAATGTAAAGATGCAACAAAAAATTTGGAGATATTGAGACGTGGTTTTTCAGGCTTGCCTGACTTGATTCCATTTAAAATATTTTTGGACTTTGAATTTTATTTGGATTTTAAGAATACAGGTTTTCAAAATGCTAATTAATGAACAATTTGATTTCCTATTAATGTTTTTTTTTCATGAGGTTGAATTAAACATGTCATTCATATAGAATTTTTCTGCATACCTACAGGCTCGGGTGATTTATGATTTTGCTGCTGAACCAGGAAATAATGAGCTAACTGTTAATGAAGGAGACATTATTACAATTACTAATCCGGTAAGGCAGTTTTAGTAGGTAAAATATATATACTATCATATGTCCTAAATGATATGTACTAATCATTTTGAAATTTTAATGATGAAAATGTTCATTAATTTTATTGGGGAAAAAACGTGAAAATCTAAAGAAACAGTATTTGCACATTTTTATTTTTCTCATGCAGATTAATAACAATATGGGCTTTACTTGATACAGGTTTACATATGTAAATAGGAGCCACAAACTGCACTGAGTTCGCCAGGGCAATTCGTTCAACTATTTCTCAAAGCTGCAAATATTTACTGATAAATAGAATTAAGAAATGAATAGAATTGCGTTATAACTGAATACCTGTACTTAAGAGTGACTCATAGAAATTGATGGGAATTATTATAAGCACATTTTAGGATTATAATAAAATTCTGAAGTATTCTATATTTTTCTCTGTCATTTGATTATTAATGTTACGAAAAATAGAGGAAATGGTAGGAAAATGAGGAGTTACATGATATTTTGTGGATTTCCTATAAAATTCTGCATGCAATTATATAATAAATAAACTACAAGAACCGTCAGATGTTATTGATTATACTTTTTTCTTGTAATACTAATATTTTGGTCAGAATTAAGTATGCAAATATTTGCCATGGATGTCGATGAAATTAGCCTATGAAAATAATCTGATTATTCTAAAAAAAGAAAAAGAAAAATACCATTATGCTTTTCAGGAAGGAAGAAACTAAAATTGGCTGTTGAAGATATAATAAATATGTAAAACACACAGTATAATTTTATTTCTGAAAAACTGAATATATAATTTCTTACTTTTATAATTTAACTGCTCATATCATATTTAAAATTATTTTAGGATGTAGGTGGGGGCTGGCTGGAAGGCAAAAACAGCCAAGGAGACAGAGGACTGGTTCCTACAGATTATGTAGAGGTAAGATATTATAATAAAACAATATTTGTGTATATATACAATATAATATATAAGTAGACTTATTGGCAGTATTATACATGGTATTTTATATGGTACAGAATTCAGTTATTTACACAAAACCAAATCACAAAGTGTTGATCCTTAAATGTCAGATCACAAACTGCTTCCTGAAGCAGAAGTTAGAAAGTAATATACCTCTATAATTTATGGAGCACACACAAACTGGGTGAGTCCTGTGTGTTTAGTAGAATTCTTTTTTGTATATGAGTCTCAAGCTAGACTTTTGGGTAAAGAATCTGTTTTAGATTTACTGATTAGGAAGATTAAAAAATGCTAAATTGGTTATGTGAGAGTTTCATATAGACATCTTATCTTTTATTCTTTCCAGCTAAATGGAATGATGAAAATAAGCCATGTAAAGACAGGTGCAACTGTCTATCCATCAGCATGTTTAAGCTCCAAAAACTGATCAGAAAAGAACAACCAAATTTTGTATGGGTAGTAGAAACATTAGGCTGGATCGAATTAGAAAGACAATCCATAAAATTTTCCCTATTGCATCCATGTGGAAGAAGCAATTGGGAATGTTGCCAACTCCTCCATTTCAACAACTCTGTCCTGGTCACATGACCCAGACAACAGCTATTATTAAAGTCATAGAAAAATCCAGAACTCTGCTCTGCATGCTTTTCCTGCTTTGTTATTTTTTTTCTCAAGCCAACAGAATTGGTTTGAATTGGAATTGGAAAGAGATTACCTAAAAGGGATCAGAAATCTGTCTATGAGCATATAACTCTCCAAAAATGAAATATAACAGACCAAATTTGGCATAGGGGAAAACTGGCAAAAGAAAGGTGGGGCGTCAAAAATGGGCCAGATCAGGCCAGAGGTTGTAGAGAAAAAAGCTATAGGGAACAAAATTCTCAGTATATTATGAGAGAGGTAGTTGTGTTATGAGGTAGTGATTCAGATGACTTTTCCATTGTAAGTCACATGGCCCACAGCGCAATGTACGGTATATAGTTAATCTTGGGCTTTTCCAGTGGACATATACACTCACAGATGCAACAAAAAAGGAAATGGGAGACAGATACTCAAATAGACACATGCAGCACATTGCTTGGTTACACAGAACCTTCTATGGGTTCTGCTGAATTAAAAACCAAACCAAATCAGAAGCCATGCTTTGCATGTTTTCCAGCTTTGTACTGGTCTATTGCTTCTTGCTGAACACCTGTATGTATACAGGTTGCACTCAGAACACATAAAATAAAGTGCTAATCATTTTTTTAAAAGTTTAAAAGTTTGATTAAGTTATTATATTAGGCACTTGTTCTAAATGGAGAAGATATAGTCCCGAATTTTTGTGTTCAAAATTAGATCCTCAATAGAAATTGTTGTCTTTGATTTTAGAAATGTTTTTTCAGCAATCTTCTGTTTTTCAGATTATACAAGAAAGCACCAGAGATGGAATTTTGGTAGCTGATCAAGCTTTTTTTGACAGCTTCTCCTCAAATGCTTCACAGACAAATTCGCAAGCCGTGAAAAACAATAGCCAAGTATGCATTTTAATAGTATTCTTGAGTGCTAGAAATGCTATATATATATATATTTGATCTGTACTGCTGATACACCTCTAGTGAACAGCACTAAATCATGAAAAGAATTGATATTTTTGTCTTTCCTTTTTAACTTTATTTTACTATTTTTATGTGAATGGGGACCTAACAGTTGGGAATCACACTAATTTACTTTATTATTTTGGTTCCAGTGCATGTGATTGTAACTGGATGAACCTATAACTTTAGAACTATATGTTTCTTTGGCCATATTTTTACAATCTCCCTAGCATTCAACTAGCATGCTGAAATAGAATAAACGTTTTCTTATAATTTCGAAGTAAGAAATAATTGAAGTCATGAAATAGTCTTAAAAGAGTTTTTACAATGAATTAAAAATGCAACTTCACAAGACCATTAATAAATTTTAATTTTAATCCAATTGAACAGAAAAAATCCAACATGTGTGATAAAAATTAAGTGTGCCTTCCCATAATATGAAGCATCTGCCTCTGTCTGATTTACACAAATAAGATAATTTTTCATGGACACTTGGAAATTTTATATTAGTTTTTCTGTGCCTCTAAACATTAATGTTTTTTACTAGTTCAGTTGCTAATACAAAGCTAATGTATTTTATTATTGTGCTGGCTGAAGTTTCTGTGTCTTCTTTAAAATCCAATCTCAGAATGATTCAATCAGTAGTAACTGTTTGGTTGTATATTAGTGTATTGAATTAAAATTTCCTCAGTAGAAGTTTAAAAGTGGCTTGTTTGGTTTTAGAAAGAGTCTTAGCATTAAAAAGAAATACTGAGTTATCCAATTGTGATATAGGTATGCTATATCTAAATTATGAATTTTATTTTTGTCAGCCTTCCTCGGGGTTAATTTTTTAATTCTTTAATTCATTACTCACTAAGGTCCACAAGTTTCTGTATATATGTCTAATCCTATCTGCAATATCATGTACATTCCAAGATGTCCATAAAAGCATGGATATCTGAAACATGTAAGTTTATGGATTTTAAAGGGAGAATAGACATATGGTATGTGTATAAAGTTAAAGACCAGACTGCCTGTGACCTTGGCATAAAGAATATGTGAATTACAGTAAGTGAGAATTTTAGAATGTTGCAAAACCTCACATAAACTCATCTGGTGAGTCCCATCAGATAGAGGTATAATTGATTATTTCAAGAAAATAGATACTCTTCACAGTATGTGCTTTTTTCCCCATTCTCTTCTAAGTGTTCTTCCTTTGGTACTACCTTCTAGCTCTATTCCTTGTTTTGTTTGGCCTATTTCAAAGAATTGTTCATGAGTTTGAGAAATTATGTTGCATTAGAATGAACGTAAGATGTGATCTACATAAATTTGTTTCTCTAGATCACTAATTTTTTCCATGTTTCAATAGCCTTTCAAAGTTTCCAGATTTCTGTTCTTGCCTAGAAACTTTTTAGCTTTAGGGACCAACACAAACTCTGAAGTTTCTGAAGGTTCACCCAGTAGCAGCCAGAAAACATTTAGGGTATTTGACCTATCATTATAAAGCCAATCTTAACAGCTTTCCCATTTCCCTTTACTGCATATTGCAGTGTAGATTTAGATCTGTACTGGTTTTATTTCACAATATTTAAATCTCTGTCGTCCATAGGTCAGGAGCTGAATGATTATTTTTCTTTTCAATGATTGATGTTCAAAGGTCTTAACAGAAAAGAAATACTGAGTTAGGTACATATGGTGGTGAATTTCATTAATAATTGAAAAGTGTTTTTGAAACTTCCAAATTTCATTGCAGAAGATTAAACTATAATATACTTTTGTCTGTGAAAAAAGCCCATTTGCTTTTTTGTTTTTCTTTTGCTCTTGCAAATAGCAAAAGTAAAAAAAAGTAGTGATTAAATACAGCAGTATAATAATACAGAATAATGAAACCATTTGCTGCTTGCAATTACTGCAAGTTCAAATCTCACCAGGCTCAAGGTTGACTCAGCCTTCCATCCTTTCAAAGGTAGGTGAAATGAGGACCCAGATTGTGGGGGCAATAAGATGACTTTGTATAAATATACAAAAGTATGAAGGCTATTGCTTAACGCATTGTAAGCCGCCCTGAGTCTCCGGAGAAGGGCGGCATATAAATTAAAGCAAAAATAAAAATAAAAATGATAGGTCAAATTCCTTTGGGTTTTTGATTTTATAGAAAGCAAAAACTTAATCAGCAACTATTTTATTAGTATAGGTGGGGAAAAAGATTTGTTTAAATCACTGTACAGCCATGAAATTTTCTTAGCAATTTACCAATACATAGGAAATAGACGAGGTTTATTTGAAGATTAGTAAAAAAGGGATGAAAAATTATACCTTGTATTCTTAAAAATGAATAAATGTAGTGAAGAGAAGTTTTGTCTTATATTTAAAGTTAAGAGCTACTTGAAGTATGTCTAGTGAGATGGATGGTATGAATTTTTATGTTATTATGCAAATCATTTTTGATATTGTCAAAGGACAATTATGAAGTTATAAAAAGTTACAAGTGAATGAAAAATCTCTTTGGGTTTTTAGAAGTAATTCATAGTGATTTTCATTGTTGGGTGAATTTTTTAAATCATATCCCTGTTACTAATCCCAGGAAAGTCTGACTGCAATTTAACAGTAAAATTTATTCTTACAGATGTATGATCCTCTTTAATTATATGTATATGTAATTATAGTATTTCTCAGGTGATCCTTGAATATTTTGTCTTTCACGTTGTCTAACACATTTTCATTCCACAATACATCCTAATCCTTTTGTCAGTTCAACCAAGGAAGCTAATGCCTGAGATGCAAACCTAGCTGGATAATCTTTGGCCAGTGCCTCTCTCTCAATCCTAGGAAGTAAGCAATAGCAAACCATGTCTGAAAACCTTGCAAGGGAAACTACAGGGACTAATCCAGACACTCAGCAGAAGTCAAGAGTGACTCAAAGGCACCCCCCCCCCAAGGCATGATAGTCAGGAAAATCAAGGGCATGGAAAAGTCATACTTAATATGCATTGGAATGCTTAATTTAATTGATGCTCCTGGATTTATTAATTATGAATTATTTGGGAGTTTTAAAAAGTTGAGAAATAAATTGTTTTTATTATTCTTTTGATGTTATATAAAAGCGAAATACCACTCACGCATCATCACGAAATCTCCAGAACCGTAAAGCCTACAAACCAGGGGTGGGTTCTACTTACCTTTATGATTGGTTCGCATTATGCACGTGCACGAGCGAATCCATGCACATAAGCTTCTGCACATGCGCAGATCACTTCTGATAACGTCAGGATCAGTGGGTGGAGCCTCCCACCGGTTTTACTACTGGTTCTTGCAAACCGCTCCGAACCGGGGGCAACCCACCACTGCTAGAAACTTGAAATTTGGCACATATGTTTTTCTTGGCTTCTAGGTGCTCACTAAGAAAGAATCTTTTGAAATGACCATCAGATAATATTTCTTATATTATTATTATTAACACGCTCTGATGCTAAAGAGTTAGACGTTCTACTCCCTCTCTCCACCTGAAAAGAAATCTGTTCCAACTGCCACTTTGATGTGGCCTGCGGGATAGGAGTTTAGACATTCTACCCCCCAGAAGGGGATAAGATAGGAGAGGCCACTGTGTGGCAAGCCTGAGGGAGAGGATAGGAGAGGCTTCTGGGGCAAGGCTGAGAGAGAGAAGGGAATAAGATAGGAGAGGCCTCTGGAGGGCAAGCCAGAGGGAGAAAAGGGGAGGAGAGGCCGATCATAACTACTCATTAATGTTCAAGCTTTAACTATCAATTTATCAAGCCCGATCATATAGTTTTATAGCAGAGCACTGGTATCCAGTTAGTCTTTTTATAAAATTAAGCTGATTACAAATAAAACTGAAAGAGAGCATTCTTGCTTGGTGCTTGCTTTACATATAGAAAGCCTGATTTACAGTTTGGATTCTAGGTAGGTTTTGATAGCAATGCCTAATGTTACATTATATATAGTTCTACTTTCTGATTGATTAATTTTTTATACTCCCTTACATATAATTGTTTGCTTCAAGTTTCTCAAGCTGAAACAGGCTACAGTCTAGTAAATAATATATAAATGGTGAAGTTTGGTTGGGAATACAGAATTTACCTCCTTGCTGGTTCAATAAAATGTTTTAAAAATGTTTTAAATGAGTATTCATTTTGTGTGCTAAAAACTGTTAAAGTCCATGACATTTCTAGGTAATTCCACCAAGCATAGACATTTGATAAGGGTCAGATGAATTCCAATTTTTCTCCTTCCACTCACTTAATACTCATAATTTGCAAGATGCTGAAAGAGAGAAAAATTAGATTGAGATACTTACAAAGCATCTATTTCTTCTTTCATCTTGTCAATTGTTTCTACAGACATAGGGGGATTACAAAATATTGAGGCCTATTGTATTAAGTATTAAATACCGTGTTTCCCTGAAAATATGACCGGGTTTTATTTTCTTTTGACCCCCGAAAAAACGGCTAGGGCTTATTTTTGGGTGGGTCTAATTATTGACTCACCTCACAGCAGCGGCACTGACAGCCCCATCCATCAGGAGCCCACTGCTGGTCCACATCTGCTGCCACTTGCCGCTTACACGCATCGCCCCGGCCTCCATTTCACTGTCAGAGCCTTCCGGAAAGCCCTCTGCAGCCAAGAAACATCCAGATTGACGCGCGCATCACCCCCTGGCCTCCACCATCAGAGCCTTCCAGAAAGCTCTCTGCAGCTGAGAAATGGACTCTGGATTGATGCGCATGGTACCCCCTGGCTTCCGTTTCGTCTTCAGATGTCTTCTGAAAGCTCTCTGTAGCCAATAAAAGAGTTCCGGATCTCTTAGGGGTTCTTTTCGGGTGGGTCATATTTTCAGGGAAACACGGTAGATAATATTAAGTAGGTTTTCCCCAAACCCACTCTTGACATTATCAAAAAAAACATAGTTTTCCCCCATTCAGAAATTCTCATCATCTTTGTATCTGTCACTAATTACCTCATAAAGTGTACACTAAGGCATTTTTAAAACCTATATTGCTTGACCATGAGAGTGTCACACACACTCATTTACTTAAACTATGTATTTAAAGCAGATCTTTTTCTGAGCAGATAGTTTTCATTCTCATTAATTGCTGGGTTTCCAATTGGCCCAATCATTTTTTGTACTCTTGTTTATTACTACCTACCTACCTATATCAAAAACCCATATCTGAGTCTTCCCTTTTACCATTCACTGGAGTTTCCAAATGCTGAACAGGTTAACCAAGCTATTTTCAAAACTGTGATCTGAAGATGATTTGTTTCAACAGATCATTACACTAAAACAGTAGTGAAAACTTAACTTATTCTCATAATGCAAAGCTGTGGTTCAACATTATTTCCATTTGAGGCCTTTGTATAAATACTATATTGCTAATTCTGTTTCATTATATTCCATCTACAGTTAAGCTTTTCCTTGTAAGCTCCTATGACTATGGTATAGAACTTGGCCCACACTTTATGAACTTTGCCAGTTAATTTTTCTTCAATTGGCCTACACTTCAATAAAGAACTGCATTTTTTAAATATCAGGGCCAGGACTGGATTAATAATTTCAATTTATGGCTGAAAATCCAGTAGTGTAGTCAAAATGATGAAAGCAATGTTGTGTTATCACAGTACGAGTTCTGCCATGTTTGAATGTGATTTGTCATTTGACATCCCATCCCCAGTCCCTTTATGAATGTTTCTGCTCTTATATTTGTTGACAATTTTATATCCATTTGGAAATCTGAGATCAAAGAGAAAATGAATGTACAGCTTCTCCCAGTCAAAGGAATCTATGTGCAAATTAAGTTTGTAGTAAAGCTGCCACTGGTAGATGCTAACAACCAGAGTTTGGTATCTGCCCCACCAATATTGAAGCAGGTATCAATGTTTCTAGGCAGATTGGGAAGCATTTTCTGTGTGACTTAGTTATAATGGAAGATTGTGCTTGGCTTTTGTCTTTGCCTGCGTGGATTTATTTCAGTTAAATTTATACAAGTTTTGGTTTTATATTTTTTTACTTCAAGGATCTGAACATTGTAGTATAGTAGAATTTGCGCTAAGGGCAGAAACTCTCTTCTTGCTGAATCTCTCAATTGCCTTTAATACCATGGACTGAGGTATCTTTTTGGGTAAATCAAGGATTATGTAGTGCTAGCTCCAGAGAATATGCTGCCCCTTGTCACATTGACACCATCTCTCAATGATGTTAAGTAATGTTACACATTTTTAGAATGATTCGGAAGAAGGGATAGCATTAGAATTCTCTAATTGTTGATACCCTATACCAGTGCCTACTCAATCTTAGCCTAAAACCAGCCCTAGGAACAATGATTTTCCTCCTTTCATAAAGACCAGTTTCAGTTGATAATTTGGGAAAGAGTTTGCATTCTTGGGATCTCTATTCTAGAGTATCATAGGGCTTGGCCATTCTCCTTCCTCTCCCTCACCATTATCACCTAGATCACGGGTGTCAAACTCAAGGCTCTGGGGCCATGGGGCCGCCCTGGAAACAGCGAAGGACCAGCCCACGGTGCCTATGCCAGTGAAAATGGAGCTCAGGAGGGCTGTGGGAGGCCCTCTCAAGCTCCATTTTCACTGGCAGAGGGTTGCAGGAGGCCGTTGCAGCCGAAAATGGAGCTTGGGGCCCGTTTTTGCTGGCACAGCACTCGGGCCACCACAAGTGCCCCCAACACGAGTGACTTCGAGCTGGCCATGCCCACCCTGGCCACACCCAGCCCAGCCCAGCCCAAAGTTCAAACACAACCCTGATGCGGCCCTCAATGAAATCGAGTTTGAGAACCCTGACCTAGATGAAGCCACTGGGAGGAGTTATCTGTTGGCATTAGTGATATATTATCAATCAGTAGGGGATACTTTATTATGTCCACCACAGATTGGGCAGAAAATCTCAATTTCTGGAGGGTCTTAGATTTTGGATGAGGGGAAAACAGGCAATGCATCTGAGTACAACCTAAAAGGAATTTGAGGGAAGATCAAAACAATCCAACAAAGGAATTACATAAAATCAACAAAAAATGGCAACTGGCAAAAACCAGATGGAACGAAGCAAGGCTTTAACTCTCCTTTACCAAAGGCTGAATGAATAATAATAATAACTTTATTGTCATTGTACATGTAGTGTATAGAAGAGACAGGTCTTCAAGGCTCTTCTAAACAATAGTGGGGGTGGGGGGATCTGTATCTTATTTTGCAATTGTAGCAACTGTTTGTAATTGCAAATCTGAATTTATTAAGCCAAATATGTGCCACTAACTTTTCCATTGCAACATTCTTGCCTTTCTCTACCCTAATTAAATCCAGAAGCATCTAATCATCAGTTTCTTCTGAACTGAGAAGTTCTCATTTTCAAGTTTGGAATAAAACAGGATCTTACACCATGTTTTGAAGTTTGGTTAGGAAATTGTTTAAATAAGCACTTTTTGATTTAACTACAGTATATCTGTGTTGCAGAGGAGAATAAGGATACTCTGTATCAGGGGTGGGTTCTACTTACCTTTACTACCGGTTCGCAACGGGAGTGCTCGCTCACTGCAGCGCATGCACAGAAGCTTCTGCACATGTGCAAATCATCAATTATGACATCCGTCCGGGTGGGCAGAGCCTCCCGCTGCTTTTACTACTGGTTCTAAAGAACTGGACAGAACCGGGAGCAACCCACCACTGCTCTGTATACAATCAAAATGCTTGAGTATGTTTCAGCTCAGTAAGCTAATTTTCCATACCTGCTATCTTTGTCTTTTTTAATAATCAGCAAAATTCTAATTTCTAATGTTAAATTTATGATGTTTTAAAAAATATTGAACTGAACACTGGTATTGCTTGAGTTTGGGTGCATCTTGAGAGAGAAATATTATAAACATCTTAATTGGGCAATCATATTTCCAGAGTTTTTTAAAATTAATTTTATACTAGCAAGTAAAATTTGCATGATATAATCAATTACATACATTTCTGTTATTACTAGAAATTTGCTTTTCTCCAAACAAACATATTTGATTGAAATGCTAAGAGAAAGCAAAATTTCCAAATCTGATATTAATTCTTACATTTATTTCCTTCTAGAATATAATTTTGATTGTTCTTTGAGGGGGGGAAGTACTTTAAAAAAACAATCATGTAGTTTTTAAAATTGGTTCCAAATACTTTCACTTTATTTTTTTATTAAAGCTATTTCCTTAGACTAATGGCTCCTTTATCTCCTTCGTCATAGGTTACCAGTAACACAAATGATCCCTGGTCAAGTTGGGAGAATACAACAGCTAGTGATGCCTGGTCAACAAAACCTGAAGCTAGGCAGAAAAATAGTGCATCAAACAATTGGGAGGCAGCAGCATTTGGTCATCCTCAAGCTTATCAAGGTCCAGGTCAGTAGAGACTGTCTGTCATTGATAAGAATTTTTAGGAATGGTGATTGGACTCTAACTTTGACTTTTGATGAAATGCATAATTTGAAGTTTTCTAAGACTATTAGGGCAGAATGTATATATGGTAATATTTCACATTATATACTGTGTAGATCTATTATTTAAAATCAGTGGTGCAGTAGATGTTAGGGAAGATTGAACCATCTGGGAAAACAAAAATAATCTGAAGTTTATGTTTTAATGTATTTATTTTACTGAAAAGTATTGTTCCATCTGATTAAAGACAGAATTAAATTTAAGATAGGCCACTTGTGTTCCCCTCATCTTCAAAACTATTTAGTATAAATAGTAGAGCCTGAAGACCTGGCCCTGCCGATTGGCCTGGGGACCAAAAAGGGGAGTACATCACTGGAAGTGGTTTGCTAGACTAACTTGCTGACCCACCTCCCCCCTGTACTTCCTGCTCCCCCTCCCTTCATTTTTTAAAATTTCATATTATTGTACTTCCACTGTTAATTATTTCATTCCTTTACTATTGTTATTTCTACGTTTTCTATCTTTTTTCTCCATTTTATTGTTGTAAGCCGCCCAGAGTAGCCCCACAGAGAGCTGGGCAGCAAATAAATTTAAGAGATACAAAAAAAAATAATCTTTGTTACACATCTAAATTCTTGTAAAACTACAGATTTTTAATCCTCATTCAGTTAAATTACAAAATACTGAGATGATAGTAGCTTATTTATTTGACAGTTGACCAGTCCTTTCAATTTTCAACAACATGCCACTATGCTCTACATGACTGTTAGGGGAAGTTATGCTGGAAAATCCTAGTTAGTTATATACACTCTTTTTAATAATTAGCTGCTCACACAGTTCTTTGCTGTTTAGCAGCAGCTGATGATGATGAATGGGATGAAGAATGGGATGAGCCAAAATCAGCAGCTACCCCCTATCCTGGTTATAAAGAGACAGAGCCCTCTGATCCAGCCGGGCTTCAACGTGGAAACAGCCGTGGAACTGCTATGAAATTGCCATTGAACAAGTAGGACTCGTACCATGGCACTGTAATCAGAATACAAATTAAAGAGATATGTATGAATTCCTCTCGTTAGTTTGAATGCTATAGTCACAATCAATAACTGATGCATCCTACAGATCTTAAGAAAAAAAAAACACTTGTATTCTTCAATTGAAAGGCCTAGCTAAGTAGTGTAACAGCATCTAGCTGATTATAAAAAAACCAAGCAGGAGTAGGTATTTGGTATTTGGATAGGAAATCATCATGAAATTCCTGGACTTTAAGCTAAACTATAAAGTTTTTTAAAAATCCAGAAGGTACTGGCAGTCTAGTCTGTTAAGTAACTAACTGGCCCAATAAGGTAACAGGAATCAAATTCAACTCAAAGGAGATTTTATCTATCTTAGCTGAAGGGTTTAGAAAAATGAGAATGGTATTTTCTAACTTTTAATCATGTTTTATTCTGAAATAAAAGTGTAGAGAGATCTCTCTTTATATTAAAAACTTACGGTGCCTGAACAATTATTCAGATAGAATCATGGCTCACTGGTTGTATCATTTATTTTTCTAATTTTCTGTTGATAATGCAATTAATTGTTTTAACAGGATAAGCCTAATCTCCATTTAATGAATTATATCACTAGTTTAGTCTAGCTGCTCTAAGGTTTTAATGTTTATCAATTTATATTCTGCTTGAATTGCTGAAATAACTCTAGGAGGCTTTATATCCTGACTGTCAATAGCTTTCTCTATCTAGTTACCAAACACTGTGCTAAGAACTGCTTTTTCATCACTGGAAATCAATATTCAATGGATTCATGTGTGGCTAAATGCATATGTGGTCTGATTAGAAAGTAAGATGAAAATCCTGCTACAGACAAATCTTTTTTCATGTGTTGGGAGTAGAGATGAGAATTGGATTGGAACAGAGTTTGATTTATATGAAAATATAGCTGGTTTCCCAAGCGACAGAAGAGAATTTAAGAGCCCAATGGATGGTATTTTGGTGGCAGTTGGTACTAACTGCTGCTATCCACGGTTTGTTCTAATTGGAAGAATTCATCCAATCACAGCTGGCTTAATAGTGTATGTAGAGATAGACACTTCAGATGCAGTTGTTAATTACATTGAGACTAGATCATTGTTGGCTCAAGTATTTTATTAAGAAGGCCATTTATCACATTCAAAAGCTAAGTGCCTATAAATCATGGCTGGCATTTCTGAATACAGCAAAAACCCTATGAAAGAAGACTTGAGTCATTTTATTTCTCTGATTAGATTTCCTGGATTTGCAAAGCCCGGAGTGGAACAGTATCTGCTGGCAAAGCAGCTAGTGAAACCCAAAGAGAAAATTCCTATAATTGTAAGTTAATACCAATGTATCTAAAATTTTAACCACTGCATGAATCATTAAATATTTTAAAAATATGAACCACAATTAAATCAAAGTAGTAAATAGTTAGGGCAGCATATGGGACAGTGAAACCTCAATTCGTTATTTCTGAAAATATGGAAGCTTATAATTTATTAATTCAATATTGAACATGGCCTAAAGTTCTTCATTAGCATCTTATAGCATAAGTGAAGCCTCTTATTTTTAATTTTAAGTTTTAGGGGATTTTTTTCTTGAAATCAACTCTCATGCTGTCCAGTCAAAAGCATATTGCATACAGTTACTTTGATTATTTTGAGTTCTAAGTAATGAATAAGGAATCTTTCAAAAATATTTATTCATGTTGCATTGTCTACCTGCTCCAAATCAGTATTGATTGTTATATATAATAGTACACCCTACTAAGTTACAGAAAAGTTATTGGATTTTTATATTTACAAGAGCTAATTGCTTTTAGATAAAACTTGTAAATCTTAATAGATGTCGGTGGCTATATATAAAAGGTGTGATACCATATAGCATTCTTAGAATTGATATATAACTTTGTTATCCTATAGATTGGAGATTATGGTCCAATGTGGGTTTATCCTACTTCTACATTTGACTGTATTGTGGCTGATCCAAAAAAAGGTTCTAAAATGTACGGTTTGAAGAGCTATATCGAATATCAGCTTACATCTACAGTAAGTGCGTACCAGGAATCTTTTATCATAGGATATCTCAGTGTTCCAGTTTATAATAATATTCAACCTTAAACTTTAATACTATTGATGATATAATCTTTGTAATTATTACAGCTTTGCAGAATTCATATAGTAGAAGTTTTTTGTCTGCTTTACAGAACACCAACCGATCGGTCAACCACAGATATAAACATTTTGACTGGTTATATGAGCGCCTCTTAATTAAGTTTGGATCAGCCATTCCAATTCCATCTCTTCCAGATAAACAGGTTACAGGTAATTTTATCAAAATCACGTTTGGCTAATGGTTTGTAATTTATTTTTCAAAAATAGAGAAGCGGTGACTCAAATTTATTGAGAGAGAGTTATATCACATTAAAATCCAGAAAAATAGAGAAAAAAATTAAAATTGTGTGTATAACTGCTGGTAAAACTATTATAATTATTTTGCCCAGTTTTATATTTCCTGGAAAAAATGTAGTTATTTTGTTTTTTACAGCATTCTGACAATGTCTTTTCATGGAATTTTTAATATGCTACATTGGACTATTAATGCCATAGTCCAAGATAACACCGCCCAAAAAAATTCCTTTCACAGAGGCAGCCAGCCACCTCGGTGATATCACCCTGGCTAACACTTGCCATATGCTTAAAAAAAAAAAGCCATAATTTTATATGGCATAAGTTATAATTTTATAACTTGGTCTGCTGTTATAAAAATACAAGGAAAACAAATTAAGTCAATAATTATAAAACCATTTCAATCATTTATTGGAATTATAAACTTTTCTAGGATGGGGAGGGCTACAATTTTTGCTCTAATTAATTGGCATTTTTCTCCAGTTGTCTTTCCTTGCTATATCGTGATAATCTTTTAAACAGATATATTTAAAACAGCCAATAACAGACCCAATGCAACAATTTGTACTGTTTGTACTGTTCAAATTGAAAACTGAGCGTGGACTAACATACATTTCCATAATGCTAAGGAAATTGAAAACAGAAAAATGTATTTGTTTCCCGCAGCATTGTCTAAAGATACCCTTGGCTACCTGTTCTACTATTTAAAAGGGATGTACCAGTAGTATATTCCTAAAGGAGATTTATTTTCAAAACTCTGCTGATTAGACAATATTAGAGAAAGGCAACATTTTTGAAAGGAAATCAAAAGGGAGCTGAGATGGTGAGACAGCTTAGAAGATGGATGGGCTGATTCCATGACCCATATTTGCCTACAGTTCACATAAATCTTTTACTTTTTACCACTTCAACATTCTTAAGGGAAAACTAAATATTCTATGTCAGCAGTCTTTTGCCTTAAGCTGAAAATACTTGCCATAAAAAATTAAAACATTATACAAAATATATAAATTGAGTATTTTCAGCTTGAGGGGGAGAAAAAGAGTTAGACATTAGGTGAATTCATGAAATGTGTATATTGTCTCAAGCTAGTCAACATATTTAGTGATTTATCTCAAAAAATAGCATCAAAACATGGATGATAATAAGAGTCCTGTTTTGGCTGCAGGACGTTTTGAAGAAGAATTCATCAAAATGCGGATGGAGAGATTACAAGCTTGGTTGACCAGGATGTGTCGTCACCCAGTTGTTTCAGAAAGTGACCTTTTTCAGCAGTTTCTTAGTTTCCGTGATGAAAAGGTAACATGTTTTCTTAAAAATTTTTGGGAATGGATTGGTGGATAAATCTTAATTTTAAAAATGTTAATAGGGAATATTTCTTGTACAAAATGTTTGCCATGAACTCTAATGACTTCTAAGCTGTGCTTTATTTAGTTTGTAGTTAAGAAAGTAGTAAAATAGTGAAACTTGATAGTAAGTCATGATCCACAAACTTTTTCAAGTGTATCTGCAGAGATTTCAGAGCTCTTCTCTTTCAAATAGCTGCCTCCTAAGCTTCATTAAACCATTTTCTGTAGCTCTTTAGTATACGGTAGATTGTATGGCTCTTGTGATCATGGAGTTAGGTATGCTTGATCTGCATATCAGCTGTGAAAGAACCAGAACTTTCCAATTTCCTTCCTTCATCAAGACCATGGTGAATACTAAAAAGTGCATCCCTCATACAATCATTCTTATATTTAGGAATGGAAAACAGGTAAAAGGAAGGCAGAAAAAGATGAGATTGTTGGTGTCATGGTATTTTCTACTATGGAACCAGAAGCTCCTGATCTGGATATGATAGAAATGTAAGTTACTGGATTCCCCATCTCTATTACAATAGAACAAAAGTGATGAAAAAAAAGTACTGAAATAAAACAAATGTAACTTTAATCTTAACTAGAATAAATATTTTCACTGTAGCCAAAACCTTTTGCTATTCCTTGTGAGGCTCATTTAAACAGGATGTATACTAGCAAGTAATCCTTTCAAGTGTCATATTATTGATGTTTGTTATTTTCCATATTGAGAGCAAGTTTTGGACTATTGCCAAAGGCATAAATAGATCTCTGTGGGCCACAAGGCACTCCCATCAGTTGGGGTCCCCAGCGATGTAAGAGCTCAGGCCCAGTGGCAGCAATGAAGCACAGATGTGAGAAAGGGAAAAGGAGAATTGCAGTTGCTTTTTACCTAACAGCAGTTGCAGGCCTGAGAACTGAATGAGTGTTTCCCCACTTCCTCAATCACTCAAACTATCAACTTCCTCCTGCTTGACCTCAGACAATGAGACTCCCTCTCCTCATCTTTGGCCGCCTGAAAGCCTTTTTTTCTTAGGTCTAACATAGCTAGTCTGTGGAAAACATATTTGGCCTTAAATGTAATTAACGTTTATAATAGTCAGTCATAGTTAATGCTTTTGGCTTACGTGCTCGCTATTCCTAGTCTCCTTTATGGTGAACTCTCTCTGCTGTCATCCATAATTAAATATTTTCTAGCATTAATTTTAAAAATGGATAATGGTGACTAGATTATGTAGAATTTTCAATTTGCACCAATAAACCTGGCACGAGGATGTTGTGCACAACTATAAAGCAAGTAAAGTGAATTTTTCATGGGAAAAAATGGAATAGTGAAAGAGAGCATGCATTCTTCTCACCCATTTCTGAACTTTTGTCCATGCTGAATAATGGCAGCATTGTGACTGCACGGGGCCAAAGATACTAAAGAATGTTCTTTCTGAGCATGTTTTTTCTCTAAGGAGAAGTTTTTAATGATTTGAAATGGATTCTTAATGCCAGTAAACAAATTTATTTATATATAATAGCTTGATTGTATATAATTAAAATTCACCCAGAATTTAAAACTATTTTCAGTAGACAATTATTTGGGAAAAGAAGGGAGAGAGTGTAAAGAGTATAGCCTGCTAGACAACATAGAAATTAAAAGTTCTCCCCTGTCTGTCTATATTATTATTATTATTATTATTATTATTATTATTATTATTATTATTATTATTATTATTGCATAGTGAACAGAAGTGTGATGCAGTTGGCAGGTTCACTAAATCCATGGATGATGGAGTCAAAGAGTTGCTAACAGTAGGCCATGAACACTGGAAACGTTGTACAGGACGTAAGTGTATTTGCTTTAATTATTTAATTTTCATTAAATGAAAATGTATGCTTCACATGTAAACTTTAGAACTATCAGTGCACTAATCATATATCAAATATAATGGCTTTGAAAAACATATTCACATAAATATTTGCCATATTAACACTTAAAAACTCTAATTTTAGTAAGCTTTTGGGGAAAAGCTGATACTTTTGTTTGTTTATTGAAACTACCATATTTTATCTGGAATTCAAAAGATACAGTTAGAATATATTTTGATCCACATTATATTTTTCTGTCTTGGGTAGTCAAAATTAAGCATTACAAACCTGGTACCAAGAGAGACAGAGGAAACAAGATATGGGAAATGAAATAATAAGGCAGAAGGGAGTGAATGCAGCAAGATTTAAGATCATTTGTCTTTGCCCCAATGGGATGTCCAGAAAGTATCTTGTATTTAGTTATTTACTGAAGATGTTTGCCATTATTCAAATACATTGTAGATGTGTTTTTCTTACAGCATTACCCAAGGAATATCAGAAAATAGGAAAAGCTTTACAGGGTTTGGCACTGGTTTTCAGTACTAGTGGTTATCAAGGTACTTTTCGATTATATATATATATATATATTTCAAAACAGCATTGACCTGTTTTCATTTAAGCCGTCACAAAAAATAGTTTGGGTCTTCTTTTTGTAATTAAATTAGCATGATTCTATTTGTAGGAATCAGGTACAGGTTCAGAAATGTGTTTTAAGCTAATTATTGCTACCAATATATTCTAGTTCAATCATTTAGATATTTCAGTTTATGTTTGTGATTTCTACTTATCAAATAAATGCTATAATAATGAATAAAAATGAATCAGATCACAGCAAACAAATAATTCAGTCATTTCCACATTTTTGGATTTTGGTGCTAATAAACTTGTTCAATAATAAAGGATTGTAGTACTTGTAATCTTTAAAAGGCTATTTATTGCTTATTCCTGAATTACATGTGTTATTAAAAATGTGGCTATTTTATCTCTATATTTAATGGATCCAATGAGAAAAAAAAAATGAAAACTACATTCTGGTGTCACCTTATTTCTGATTAATTTTACTCTTCTTATAGAATTAAGAAATTATTAAATTTATTACAGAAATTATTGAAAGCAAATATTTTCCTTACTGCCCGTATGTTTTATATCTTGACATTTCAACCAACTTATAAGTAGAAGTTTCTATTAAATATTGACATAAGTTAATGAATATTTAGTGACACAACTTATTGAGCATGGTAATAGAAAATTATCCATGAGCAAATATATCTTAAACTCTATTTTTAAAATTAAATATTGTTACTCGGGATAACAGTTGTAGACTGAATAAAAAAAACGCTTGCTAAAATACGTCATTACTGTTTTTAGGAGAGTCTGACCTCAATGAAGCAATAACTGAAGCAGGAAAAACGTATGAAGAAATAGCCAGTCTTGTGGCAGAGCAGGTATATTCTGTCTTTTTATAATGGGAAAACTTTCTCTGTACACATAGGGTAGGATGCATGCATGCACATGTCTTCAATCACTCCCCAATTTTTGGACTCTTGTCAATTGCCTGGACTAATCCCTCCAGTTTTCTGTTTGCCATTGCTCCTTCCTAGGCTGAAAAAGATGGCTTTGTGCCTAAGGCAGGACTAGAACTCATGTCTCCCACTTTCTAGTCTGATGCCATAATCAGTACACCAAACTAGCTCCTGTATAGGTTAGCATTATGTAAATTGTTTATCACTGTCTTTTCTGCTTATATTTTCACTACTCTGTTGATTACCTTACTTTTTTCAAGTCACACAATAGGCAACAACTGTCACGTTAGCAAAATGTTTAAAATATAACATGGAAATATTTTAACTTTAAAAGAAAAACAAGTTTCATGTTGTTGTTTTTTATAAATAATCATTTATGTGGTACTTTCCAGATAAAGTAGACTTGAATTCCTAGAGTTAAGAGGGCTTGATTTAAACATCTGGAGAAAATACATTTGAGAAAGATTGCAAATTATTTTTAAAAGAATACTATAATATGGAACTCTCCAATGCTTTACACAATGCATATCTTGCATATCTTGCATCTGTGTTCTCCTTAAAAGTATTTTCTCTATGTTCTGTCATTTTACTTTAACTATGGACTTATTATGACATGGTATTATAGAATTACTAACTGTTCCTTTCTTTATTAGCCAAAGAAGGATCTTCATTTTCTGATGGAGACCAATCATGAATACAAAGGATTTCTTGGTTGCTTTCCAGATATAATAGGTGCCCATAAGGTGAGAGACAATGCAGTATGGGTTTTCTAAAGAGTGAATGCTAGTTATTTTAGTATCAGTAGAAGTTTTAAAGACACTCAGTACAGGGGTGGGTTCCACTTACCTTTACTACCGGTTTGCAGCAGGAGTGCTTACTCACTTCTGTGCATGTGCAGAAGCTGCTGCGCATGCACATATCACCCATGATAATGTTGTAGTGGGTCAGCGGAGCATCCCGCCAGGTTTACTACCGGTTCTTGAGAACCGGACCAAACTGGGAGCAACCCACCACTGACTCAGTATGAAACCATTGAGTTCAAAATCAGTTTATCAGAAGTATTGTATTAGAATTTATTTGTACTGATATTTTTAACGTCATCAGTACTGAAAATGCTATATTTCCTCTTCATTTCTTTTACAAGAAATGGAAACTGGTTGTATTAAACCCATTTAAAAAAAACTTGATCAAATATCAGTATAGAGGGTAATCATCAAATTATAGCATAGACTGCTTTAGTTAATTTTTATGATATGTAATCCATTTTTAACTGCACTGGAATGCCCTAGGATGATTATTGTGTTCTTTCTTACGATGGATCCATATATTTCAGAATGATAAAAAGTAACAAAATCATATTATGACTTTGCATTAGGTATAACCTGGTAATGAAATAAATACCTAGTTGGTCATTTACCAATACCGGAAAAGCCTGTTTAGGCTTTTTTTTTCTTTTTTAGAAAGAAACATTGTCTCTTGACCAAATCAATCTCATTTTACTAAGAAAGAACCAGAACAGTTGATATAAAACCTAGCTGGAAACATCAAGATAGGTTGGACGGATAATAGATGTGACATATGTTACACATGCATAGATATGTATAGTTAGTATATAGTATGTTAGATTTTATTTATGGTTGCCTGCCCCATGAATAACATAACTGAAAGATGTTATTGTAGCATTTGAAATAATTTTTTCAATGATGGCTCATGGTATATTTTTCTTAACAGGGAGCAATAGAAAAAGTGAAGGAAAGTGATAAACTGATTGCTACCAGCAAAATTACCCCCCAAGATAAACAAAACATGCTGACACGTGCAAGCGCCATGTCTTATGCATTACAAGGTAAAGTTTCAGCCCAGCTAGCAGCATCACAGCAAAGTCTTCTATGATTCTTGGAGTCTGAACAATTAAAAATAAAGCACAATATAGGCCATGGCCAAAAAAAGGAATACTTGGCCTTGCACTAAAGTATCTTTTGATTAAATGCCTAAATAATGAATAATTTTTTTAAAATCAGGATATAAAAATGTAACTGGTTTTCATTTACAGCGGAGATGAATCACTTCCACAGTAATCGAATCTATGATTACAATACTGTGATGCGTCTATACCTGGAACAGCAAGCACAATTCTATGAAACGGTAAGCTGCACTGAGTATAATGCTTTTTTTTTTATGTCTGTCAGCTATACAGTTACTTGTTTTTATAAATTCTTTGTGCTCAAATTTTGTTTTGAATGCTTAAAATATTTAAATAGAAAGTTAAGTGAATATTTATGGCTTTATCTATTGTTTCATAAATCACTTGTGAAAATCTTCACTTTAAAAATGTAGATTTGTAATGATTCCCCTTCGTTCCCTTAGAAAATGATACTTGGCACTGATAATCCTTCCTGCATTGCACATTTTGCATGAGACTTTTGCAGCTGGCACTTTCTTTTTGGTTAGGATGCACATTGAATTAAACTTGGCAACTCATTAGCAATTCTTTCATTCGTTTCAGAGAAAGGGGAATGATTAAGATACATGCAGTTATTCTACTTAATTCTCTGTAATTTCACCACCACCTCTGCCACAGTTACCTTGGAAAATGAAGATACTATTTTTATATTAATCTAATATTCCCATATTTCCTCCTGAACCTCATACCAAGGAGTTTAAATTGCATTTAACCTCTGTCTAGAAGCTACTGCCCAATGTAGATGAATATATTAATATATAAAATATATATAAAGAGACCTGAATACTATTGGTGGCTGGAGATTAGTATTTCCATCTGTGCATTGCTGTTAACAATGAGTTTTTTAATCACCTGTTTGCAACGAATTGCCATTTTAGCCAGATCTATTATGTCTTTTTTCATCTTTGAAATAAATTGGACAAATTTTGTTTGCAAGCTGGCTTTGAAGAACATAGTGAAATTTACCCATGTTTTAATTATTATTATTTTGTAAAACAAAGCACATGTCATGGATTTTAGTATCACAATCATTAAGTGTGCTAAAGTGTGCTTCTGAATAAATTTCATTTTTTGAATTATTGTTTGGACTTATTTGTTTCTCATGTCTATTTCATGCCACAGGAACAAATTACTTAATATTCTTTCTTCCATGATCTTTAAAAGCAGGTCGATGGTGGGGGGATTCTGAGAGCATTCCAGGGTCCTAACTTTTACACTCTTATGTATTTCAGATTGCACAGAAACTGAGGCAGGCTCTCAGTCGCTTTCCTATGATGTAGCTGAAGGCAGATGAAGAACAACAACTCCAAAGTGCTTTTTTGATTATTGATGGGGGAAGTGCAAATAAAGAAGTGGAAGACTTTGCCATACAAAAAGCCGTTTAAAAAAAAGAATTAATTTTTAGAAATGAACCTTAAAAAAAGAAGAAAAAATCTTCACATGTTTACTTCGTTAGCCTTAATGCCCTGGATATTTATGATTATTTTGTCATGCTTTTCTTTCCTAGCTGTTATTGAAATGAAGCTGGAAAGTATTGTATTCATTGAGACTAAATTGCCAAATGGTTTGTTTGCCAGATACCAAAAAAAAAAAAAAAAAAAAGATATGTCCAGGGGTGGATAAACATATGGATATCTGGATGGTTTTGTTTTGTTTTTAGTTTAACTACCCTGCCCATGTTAGGTAAGAGTTTAGCATCCTAAACTCTTCAAAAGCAAAATGTGATCAGATCTTAAAAGGATAAGAAAGCCAATATAGGATCTGTAGATACATAATTGTTAAAGTTCTTTCTAGCTTTCAAATAAGTTCTGTGGAAAGGAAATATTCGTCCCATTTCTACTATAGCCATAACATCAATTTTCTGTAATATATATAAATATATATTTATATGGATTACTTCTTCTTAAGGGCTGTTCTTGTACCTCAGATGCCTTCTAAGGCTGCGTTATTTTCATTTCTGGGTTTATATACAGTAAATACAGACATTCTGAACATATGGAAAAACTGTTCCATCCAGTGGTCCAAGCCATACACACTTCTTAACAAATTATCAATTTATGTATTAGGGTTTCCCCCCTTTTATATCCCTATATTTAGTGGCACAAACACCCAATCACAATCAATATGATAGGAAATTTTCTAAGCTCATTGTGGTATGTTGGGTCCTTCTGTCATAACACAATGAGATCTTATACTGTTTCATCGGAAAAATTAAATCGTTCAGATTTAAAATATAGGTTAGGATTAACAGAACAACAGCTACTTAAGAATGGACTCTGCTTGCAATGTTAGTTTCAGTTCATAAATATCATTTTATATATAGGTTATAGGTCACACAGACCTGAATAGTAGAAAACCTAAGAGATATATTCATAAACAAGTCATTGAGCTAAATGCAGCTTTCTATTTAATTTTGATTGAGAAGTAAAGAACTTGGCTTTCTTATTATCAAGCAAGTGCTACATGCATTCTGAAAGTTTAATTGACTTAATATGGCATTGTCATTCTGTTTCAGTAACTATGAGATCAATAAAGTATTTGAGCCTGCCAAGTTAATAGGCCTATCAAACCAAACCACATCAAATTAGAATGTAATCTTGACTCAAATGCTGTTCTTTGTTATATTTTCAGTGACACTTTTTTCCACAAACTTTTTATTTTTAATTTAGTTGCCTTCTGAAATTCTATAAAATGTTATATATTAGCCACTGAAATAAATGTACAAATTGTAAAGAATGTGTATAAATGTTTTACACCAAATGTAATAAGATCTCATCTTGCATATAGAAACAATTTATAAGTTAACTGCAAAGCATATAGTGAACTTAAGGCACTTTTTTCACTGCACCATTTTTTTCAGCATTTGTATCAATCTTTGTAACTGGTTCTCTGGTGATTATTTTTTATGAATCTGGGTTAATCCTGATGACAGAGGTTGCAGATTTAACATTTTTTAAACAGGCAAACTGGGCACAAAAGAGCACAAACAATTGTTTCATTGTGAAAACTATTTGGAATTGGCAGGTCTGTAAGCTTTCTAGCAAATGAAGTCTTGAAATTCATAATAAATATTTATACAGATGAGATGCTTTGCTTTTTTCCCTGTGAGTAATTTACAACTCAATATAAAATCTATTATCTGCAAAAAGTTTTGTCTATATTCAGAATTTATTCATTTTTCATATTAAGGAATGTTCCTTCCAGAAAAATACAGAATAACAGTGTGTATGATATGCTATATTTTTTGCAAGTAAGTAGCAGAGATTTGTCAAGGATTGAGTATTTTCACCTCAAAATAAAAAGCTAAATATAACTTATTTACATGTCATTTATAGTAAGTATAATAAATGCCTGCTGTTAAATATGAAATTTCTTTATATAGAAATTTTCCCTTCCTCTAGGAGGAAGGGAAAACAAAATTGAGAAATTTCCCAAGATAACTCAGGTAATGGCATACAGTATCAATCACAGTAGGTGTATTTCTCTTTTATTTTCCTTTTGGAATTTGATTTAGAACAGTAATTTTTCATTTCTGAATTCCTCTAATTACTCCACCAAAGTATCTACAGTCGCCAAATACCAAATATACTTTTTCCCCAGCAGAAAATTAGGTGTATTGCATTCTCTTGTGATACATTAAACTTATAATAATGCCACTGACAGTTTTCATTGCTATTCTATCTACTTGCCCTCCACAGGACTGGCAGGAAAGACATGCTGTGGGTCCGGCCTGTAAAATATTCCCATCTGACAGAACCTAAGAAGTGGGCCTTTTCTGCCATGGCAACCACCCTCTGGAACATCATCCTTTCTGAAGTGAGGTTAGCCCTAACCCTTATGGAAAAAAGCTCTCAAAACATATTTTTTCATTAAGCCCGGGGATCCCTGGTAATAAGGAGCCTACCCATTGATTATATTGTATATAAACATCTTTTTTGTTTTATGCTTGTTTATGGTTTTAATGGGTTTGCAAAATATTTGATTTTTGGTTTTATTGTATGCCATGCAGACTCACTTTAGGTGAGATACAAATTTGACAAATAAATAGAAATTTATGAAATCCTCACCAGAAAATGCATGGTGGTAATATTTATTACTGAGTAGCCTGTAGTTTCATTTTACTGACTAGCACCCCCATGAAAAAAATATCTATGCACTCCTAACATAACCACTACTAAAATGCTGAGTGGATCCTCTACTTACGTCCTGTCAGCCACTTACATGTCCTTAGCACTATCCAATACTCAGCTCTCTCCAGTGTGGACCAAAATAAGGTTGTAGAGCAGAGCATCTTCCCCAAAAACTATGGCACAGAAGCCCAAGTTTTGTTCCTCATGACCCACAAACTAGCCTGCCTCCATGTTCTTTGGGAAACATTACTTAACCTGTCTCCTTCATGGATTACTGCCTTGTGGTGGTGAAGGGGCTTGCGTAGCTCAATGAAGCTATGAGCTATGCCATGCAGGGCCACCCAAGACGGACAGGTCTTAGCAGAGAGCTCTGACAAAATGTGATCCACTGGAGAAGGAATTGGCAACCCACTCCAGTATCTTTGCCATGAAAACCCCATGGACAGTACCAAAAGGCAAAAAGATATGACGCTGGAAGATGAGCCCCTCAAGTCGGAAGGTGTCAAGTATGCTACTGGGGAAGAGCAGAGGGCTAGTACTAGTAGCGCCAGAAAAAGTGAAGCAACTGGGCCAAAGCTGAAAGGACCCTCAGCTGTGGATGAATCTGGTGGTGAAAGGAAAGTCCAATGCTGTAAAGATCTATTCTCCATAAGAACCTGGAATATAAGATCCATGAATCAAGGCAAGCTGGACGTGGTCAAACGAGATGACAAGACTGAACATCGACATCTTGGGAATCAGTGAATTAAAATGGGCAGGAATGGGTGAATTTAATTCAAATGACTACTGTGGGCAAGAATCCCTCAGAAGAAATGGAGTAGCCTTCATAGTCAATAAAAGAGTAGGAAAAGCAATCCCCAAAATGACAGAATGATCTCAGTTTGAATTCAAGGCAAACCATTCAATATCACAGTAGTCCAAGTCTATGCCCCAACCACTGGTGCTGAAGAGGATGAAATTGATTGCTTCTGTGAAGCCCTACAGCACCTTATATAATTAACACCAAAAAATGATGTCCTTATCATCATGGGGGATTGGAATGCTAAAGTAGGAAGCCAAAAGATAACTGGAATAACAGGCAAGTTTGGCCTCGGAGTACAAAATGAAGCAGGCACAGGCTGATAGAATTTTGTCAAGAGAATACGATAGTCATAGCAAACACTCCTTTCCAACAACCCAAGAGACAACTCTACACATGGACATCACCAGACGGTCAACACAGAAATCAGATTGACTATGTGCTCTGCAGCCAAAGATGGAGAAGCTCTATATGGTCAGTAAAAACAAGACCAGGAGCTCACTGTGGCTCAGATCGTGAGCTACTCGTTACAAAATTGAGGCTTAAATTGAAGAAAGTAGGGAAAAGCACTAGGCCCCTCAGGTATGAACTAAATCATATCCCTGATGAATATACAGTAGAGGTGACAAATAGATGTAGGGTATTAGATCTGATAAACAGAGTGCCTGAAGAACTATGGACGGAGGTTTGCAACATTGTAAAAGAGGTAGCAACTAAAACCATCCCAAAGAAAAAAATACAAGAAAGCAAAATGGCTGTCTGAGGAAGCTTTGCAAATAGCTGAGGAAAGAACGGAAGCGAAAGGCAAGGAAGAAAGAGAAAGGTACACCCAATTGAATGCAGAATTCCAGAGAATAGAAGAGATAAGAATGCCTTCTTAAATGAACAGTGCAAAGAAATAGAAGAAAACAATAGAATAGGGAGGACCAGAGATCTCTTCGAGAAAATTGGAGATATGAAGGGAACGTTTCATGCAAAGATGGGCATGATAAAGGACCAAAATGGCAGGGACCTAACAGAGGCAGAAGAGATTAAGAAGAGGTGGCAAAATTACACAGAAGAACTATACAAGAATGAGCTTAACATCCATGATAACCATGATCCTACAATGTGAAGTCAAATGGGCCATAGGAAATCTGAGAAACAACAAAGCTAGTGGAGATGACAGTATTCCTGCTGAGCTATTCAAAATCTTAAAAGACGATGCAGTAAAAGTGCTACACTCAATTTGCCAGCAAATTTGGAAAACCCCACAGTGGCCACAGGATTGGAAAAGGTCAGTTTACATTCCAATTCCAAAGAAAGGCAATGCCAAAGAATGTTCAAACTATCGCACCATTGCACTCATCTCACATGCTAGTGAAGTTATGCTCAAAATCCTACAAGCTAGGCTCCAGCAGTATGTTGATCGAGAACTACCAGAAGTACAGGCAGGATTTCAAAGAGGCAGAGGAACTAGAGATCAAATTGCCAACATACACTGGATCATGGAGAAAGCTAAGGAGTTCCAGAAAAACATCTACTTTTGCTTCACTGACTATGTTAAAGTCTTTGATTGTGTGGATCACAATAAATTGTGGCAAGTTCTTAAAGAGATGGGAGTACCAAACCATCTTATTTGTCTCTTGAGAAACCTATATGCAGGTCAAGAAGCAACAGTGAGAACTGGACACGAAACCACTGCTTGGTTCAAAATTGAGAAAGGAGTCCAGCAAGGCTGTATACTGTCACCCTGCCTATTTAACTTCTATGCAGAACACATCATGAGAAAGGCAGGGCTAGATGAATCAAAAGTTGGAATTAAGATTACTGGGAGAAATATCAACAACCTCAGATATGCAGATGATACAACTCTAATGGCAGAAAGTGAAGAGGAACTAAAGAGCCTCTTGATGCGGGTGAAGAAGGAAAGTGCAAAAGTTGGCTTGAAACTCAACATTAAGAAAACTAAGATCATGGCATCTGGCCCTCTCAATTCCTGGCAAATAGATGGGGAAGAAATGGAGGTAGCGACAGATTTTATTTTCCTGAGCTCCAGGATCACCGCAAATGGGGACTGCAGCCAAGAAATTAAAAGATGCTTGCTCCTGGGGCGAAAGCTGTGGCAAATCTAGACAGCATACTGAAAAGCAGAGTCATCATCCTGCCAACAAAAGTGCATAGTCAAGGCTATGGTTTTCCCAGTTGTGATGTATGGCTGTGAAAGTTGGACCATAAGAAAGGCTGAGTGCCAAAGAATTGAGGCCTTTGAACTATGGTGCTGGAGTAGACTCCTGCGAGTCCCTTGGACTTCAAGGCAATCAAACCGGTCAGTCCTAGAAGAGATCAACCCTGACTGCTCTTTAGAAGGCATGTCCTGAAGATGAAACTCAAATACTTTGGCCACCTAATGAGAAGGAAGGACTCACTGGAGAAGTGCCTAATGCTTGGAAAGATTGACGGCAAAAGAAGAATGGGACGGCAGAGAATGAGATGGCTGGATGGAGTCACCGAAGCAGTAGGCATGAGCTTAAATGGACTCCAGAGGATGGTAGAGGACAGGAAAGCCTGGAGGAACGTTGTCCATGGGGTCATGATGGGTCGGACACGACTTCGCAATGAACAACAACTTAACCTGTTCTGTCCTCTATTCCCCATGCATACAGTAGGTTTGGAAAAGTCTCACAGTTCTCTCCTTCCCCAGATTGTTCTGAATATCACTATGATATGTATATAGTAGCGGTTGAAAAACACAAACAAATGTTATATTTGTACTCTACCTCTACACAGAGTACTGTATCTTATGTTCTGGTTGTAATTAGTTATTAATTTAAACTGGTTGTATGAATATGTCTGACTCCTGATGCTCACTTTTTAGCTTGTAAACATGAGAATCTATGTTGTTTAAGGATTCCAGCAAAGGAAGCATTTCCTTATCACCAGAATGAGTCACATTTTACAAGCGTTCTTTTAAAAAAGTTAAAGGTAGTTCCTACCACATGATAAATACTGCCTCTCTGATAAAGCTTGTATGTTAAAGTTAGAACAGTTTTACTGTATTCAAAACAAAGATTCCTTCTTTTAATTCAGATGGAATACTGAAAGTGCTCTTCATACTGTCACATTGTGCATGACTCTGTGTGTGTATAGCTTTATCCAGTTGCCCTGACTGTACC